AGATATCACAAACAGCCGTCAAAAGGACACCAGCTGAAGGGAGAAACATGTATGAACGACCAATTGACGTTTCCATGGAGTTGAGCAGCCATGATATGACCATGGAGTTCTCCGCTTCTCAAGCCCCATAAGTCGGGTCAGTCTTTGGAGGCTCATGAACAATATCTGTGAGGTAATCAAACTTCTCACGTCCTTTGATGAACAACAACGCCACTTCAAACCATTGGAGAAAGTTATTATTGTTCAGTTTATGAGTTGTGATTAAGAAATTCAAGTTGGTTTCCATTTCTTCGGACTTCAAGGGAGTGGAATTTGGAGTTGACCCTCCGGTGGAATCAACAACACCTTCTGAAAGTGGTTCAAAGTTGGAGGAATCCGCCATAATTGTGACTGAGCCAAAAAAAAATGTTGAGATGTTGATCCATCGATGAACTCTGTGGTAGTATTATGACAAAAGAAAAATGCTGGTTTGGCAAAAGAAAATTGCAGGTAGAAGGAAGGCCGGCTGTTTGTTGGAGCCTGCGGCTGATAGGATCAGCAGCAGAAACAGTGCACAGCAAGAAGGGATTCACATACAAGTGAATTCTGAAAAACTGCAGAAAGAGTAGTTCATGGCAGAAAAAAATAACTGCAGTTCACGGAGAAGTTCACGACTATTTCAAGGTCTATGTTCAATGACGAAAGTTCATTGGAGCAGTTCAAGGTTGTTTCCAGGTCTGTGTTCAATTATGCAGATCTAAAAACTGTTGAGCTAGAAAATGGCAGATCTGTAATCGAAGGAAGAAAAATACAGATCTGAAAAAACGTCAGGAAAAAGAACTGCAGGTGGCCAGCGGCTATGATGGAACCTCTAGGGTTAGAGACATGGCTGTGATACCATGTTGAATTGGTGATCAAGGCAACATATTTTCCATTGAAACCAACAGGGGTATTTAAACCCAATTAAAATGGACTCAAGTAAGGAAAGAGATAAAAGCACAACCAATGAAATAAAAACAAAATAAAGATAAAAAAAGGAAACTCCACAATACAAAATAAGGGGAATCAATAAATAATAACGGCCATGGAACTTAATAAATCTAATAATATTAGTTTCGGCTCAACCTACAACACACTTGGAACGTCTTTCTCGCACAGTTGGATCGGCTCACATGTGAAGCTCCTCTTTCCCACAAAATCTTCTAATTACAATATTTGTTTTTTAAATTAATAAACCTTGAAATGTCAGAATTATAACATACTTTTTATTTAAATTTATCTAACTAAAACTACTTTAAAAAATCGGATTACTCGCCTACTTACAGAGTTCGATCCCCCTTATCTCGTACGAAGTCGCTCTCCTCTTCTCACGGAAGCTGCTCGATCTACCCCCTTCTCCGCAAAAAAACTTCTTCACAAGATATCTAAATTTTCATCTTCTTCCTCTCCAAGAGCGACAAAAGCCATACAATGCTTCCTCCTCCATCTACGCATGAATCGCCTTCATTGTCGTGACGCACGCAAATACACTCAGGTTATGAGACCTACTCCTTCAACTTCTTCTACTTCTTATGTTTCATCTTCTTCTTCTCGATCGCACGGTTCTACCTTTTTCAGTTCTCTTCCTCTTCACTCTCTGCTCTCTCTATCAATCTCTATCTCTCGTTGTCTCTCTTTCTGAAACAAGCGATTAAATCCCGTTAGTTATCTATCTGGTTCGACTCAAAAAAAATGAGACATTTGCCTCCTAAAAGAAATTCCCTTGACGGTTATATCTGAACCGCCACTAAACCTCTTATAAATCATTTCTTATATTTCATTTTATTTTATTTATTTTTCAGTTATTACATGTGTTCCTAATCCTATTTCAAGACAAAGGTCATTGATAAATCTAGTGATCCACATATAGTTAATCTCAAGAATATCATAACTCAGTTCAAGCTCCTTAAAATAATCAAGATAACCAATAATTGGCTGAGAATAATGCCTACAAATCAAAAGAACCTCATTAAACCATCTCAATGGTGAAAAGTTAAATGACTCTACCTTAGAATTCCTTTCATCTTTGCCCACTTATATAGATCAACGCAGCTCCTTAAGTCAAGCTTAATGATATTCTAGTACTGTTTAACTGACTTAGACAACTTCAACTTGACAAATTTGACACATTACATGCCATTCACATTATCCCAAGCAAATAATTCTTTATCTCAGGATCCCAATCTAAACAAGCATTAAGGTCACGAACACCATTCAATATGAGTATTGATTTGACATTTCAAGAATAATAATGACAATCATCACTGGGAAAATTATGACCAATAGTAGTGCTCTAAGAGAGGTTGGTTGATTGGTTTATATTGGTCTATTTCCTGGTGAAGGCGAGTTTGGTCAGGAATGTTATTATAAAGATGACAATGACAAGTCTGGATATGACTTCTGGTTGAGCAGGATTGTCTGTTGTGTTGTGTACCTAATCTAAATCCTCAAATAACTAGTCAAAAATTCTAGAATCAAATCAAGTGTTAGGTATAAAATTTTTTGAGTATGGTGGCTAATCAAAAAACAGATGCCATATTGGCGCACCCAGTTGTACAAACAAGTTTCCCATCATGTATTTTGAGGTGGATATGCCAGTACATAATCTAATGGTGCTCCGTGTAAGTTCACTTCCAAGGATTTAACTCTTTGCTCATTAACAATCAATCAGCTGGTGATATAGCATTCAGTTTGATAATTTTGGGTAAGATATTGATCAAATTTATTTTGGAATTGTTCATGAATAAGTGGCATGATTGCAAAAAACAATATAGCACACAGGTGCAACCTAGTAGGATATCGTAGTAATAGGAAGATAGATTTACTTGAACTAATTATTAGCAGATAATGAAATTAATCAATTTTCTTCCAATATAAAATCAAGTTCAAAGCCCTTAACAATGTGAGAAATATTTGAGATTAAAATAACATAATAGTTAGTAGAGCACTCAGTTAACTTGCATGTAAGCTTACCATGTAAGGAAATAGGCAAGGTTATGGCTACGTTGATTTTAAGTGAAAATAGATATATAGTTGTTCACACAAAGTTATAAGATGTACCGTAGATACACAAGTATCCTAATATTAACGCTGATTATACTTTATCTCAATAGGATCAAGCATTTCTTAAAGGTAAAATTCTTCCTTTAATTGTTGGATAAGTGGTAACCAACATTAGATGACCAGCAGTGAAGCAAAGGTGCAGCTATCGAAGGTGACACCTGCTGTACTTGCAGATTTGCAAACAGAGTTCTTAAAGAATGGATTCAGAAAAAAAAATTAGACAGAAGGAACCGCAATTTGTTAGGATTGAAGCATAATGCAGGCACATGCAGGTATAGTTGTGAGCGATGATTGAATGACGTGTGTGAAGTAGGGGTTGTGAACAAAGTGATTGCAAGCTAGCTGAGTCACATGTGGGACTATAACTGAGATAGCGAACAAGGGCCAAGAAAAAATTATGATATTTGGCACTGTTGAAGCAGTTGCAATTTGAGAGGCAAGGAGAACATGAGCAAGCAAAATATGTGAAATATTTTTTTCTTTTTTGTGCAATAGCATGAAGTTGGATGCGGGGGTGGAAACATGAGAATGTGAGTATGGGTTTGCACCAGGTAAGTGAGTTTGAGAGCATGGCAAATATAAGGAAGATTTTGCAGGTGAAAATGTGAGGAACATGGGGCAAAAATGAGCAATATTTATTAAGTGTATAAGCACAAAAATCAAAGTTATGGTTGAGCTTGAAATTTTGGATAGGATGAAGAGAAGCAAAATGCAAGTTTATAAATTTACAGCCAAAAGGATTAAATTGAGGCATTGATGTGAATGCTTATGTAAGGCTCTAATATCAAATTTGATAAAAGAAGAGAAAAAACAACTCCACGCACACAACTTTGAGCAAACTTGAATATCAGCCTTGCAAATAGCCTTGCAAATAATCAAATTTCATTCATTCATCAATCAATCAACGATTCAATCATAAATTCAAAGTCACAGTTGATCTTGCAATTTTGGATAGGATGAAGAGATGCAAAATGCAAGTTTATAAATTTAGAGCCAAAAGGATTAAAGTGAGGCATTGATATGAATACTTATGTAAGGCTCTAATATCAAATTTGAAAAAAGGAGAGAGGAACAACCGTGCGCACAACTTGGAGCAATCCAAGTGCATTACTTGAATAAAGCCTTGCAAATAATCAAATTTCAATCATTCATCAATCAATCAACGACTCAATTATATTAATCAAATTTCATTCATTCATCAATCAATCAACGACTCAATTATAAATCAAGGGTCCCTGATTATATAGAGATACAAGGACAATTATCTTAAAGCAAATCTAATCATATCCAATCTAAAAAAAAGTTTAAATTTAAACTAAATAATGTCCCAATGAAGATAAATTAAACGAATAAAATAAGTCAAATTAAAAATAAGATAAATTTGATCTTTGATAGAAATGAATCTAAAAAAAGGCCTTAATCAGACTCAATTTAGTTCAAGTATGGCTTGGTTTGACTCCTCGTAATTGATCTATGGCCAATTGGTATTTTGTAGGATGATATGGCCCAATTAATTGTTTGTATTGAACAAGGAATTCTTTAGACATTTTGTGCAGAGCGTCAATCAAAACATAATCCCTTCTATCACACCAACTCTCTCAACATAAAATAGTATTTTGTTCACTTAATGGCAGTAATAAATGGTGAACATCGTGAATGAAAAACCACACCATATCCATTAAATTATCATCATTGAGTTTTTTCAGGTCAATCTTCAAGAAGAATAAGATTGAATGGGTGAGACTAAGATATGAGCAAATGAGCTAAATAAGCCTGATCAGTAAACAAACGACTACTAGGATATGATATCTTCAGAGCACTTTTTAATGCAGGTAAAAAGCTAAACGGTACATAACATAGTTGTGAGGAAAAATGAAGACAGCATGCTCCCAACACAAATGGATTCAACTTTTTGTTACCTTAAAAACTTTCTGCCAGATAGCCTCTTGCCCAGTAAATGCGAGAGGCAAGTTAATTCCTTGTAAAGCCATCCAGTCTAACTCTTTTTCCCATCTTCTCCAATCCCACCATGGAAAAGAATCTGGTCAAACATAAGTTTGACATATTTATAAACAGTATAACAAATTAAAGACAAGAATAATGGATCTGTGATTAATATTTTCTACAAAGATAAAAAAATTTATAGAGAAAAAGTTGGTAAATCAACGACCTACAATGTGGTGACTGATGAGAAATTCTCAAGAAAAAAATGTGCAATCACATAACTCAAGGATTGACTGCTGATATAAAATCATCAGCAATTAAACAATCAATTCCCTGAACTTAGCTATCAAGATAGTTAGGATAATGGTCTTTTTTATCGAGACAGCTGAGGTAATAGCATCAATAATGAAATTACAAGTGCAACTACTATAAAGTATTTGGCAATGATGTAAAATCACAAAAAATGCGGTCCTTACCAATATGGTAAGGTTGAGGTTGAAGCGAAGTCAGATCTGCTGGCAACAGCAATGGGCCAAGGGAATGCAAACATGGAAAGGGCCTAGAATATTGAAGGGAATAATAAATAAAATATTATGCACTTATTCCATCACTTTGTAAGATATTGGCTATTTCCTTATAATAAAACGATATCTGTTACGATTATGTCATTGACAATGTAAAATCACAAGGTAAAGATTCTAAGCTTCACATGGTACCAATCAAGCATGCCAACATGTCATTAGAAAATGAGACTGAATCAGGCCTCTTTGGCTGTCAAAGTTATAATTTAAGGGATAAAAATCTATTACACCAGTCCCTCCTCGGGCGGACTAGACAGGGCTGACCCAACCAGACAAACCGGCCCAGCCAACCTGGCTAGCCCAACCTAGGAGGCGAAAAACCCAAGTCCTGCCTAGGACTATTCCAGCCACCAGGTGGGACCAGTTAAGCCCCTAATCATGTATGCAAGGAGAGGAATTGGGGGAAGGGAAAAGTTCGAATGTGTTTTGGGGTGTATTAGGGCTAATCACCTAGGGTTTAATTTTATGTTTTGATTCCTGTTGTTTTCTCTAGTTCTTTTTGCTAGCAGCATCTAGAGTTTGTGAAGAGTCGATCTACTTCTTGAATTGTAGATCACCCCTTGTATCTTATATGGTTGCTTAGAGATTGATTAAATTAACCCTAATTTGTTTTTTCCCAGATATTTCTTGCAATTTGTTCGCTGATTTTGGCTCTGATTCGTATCAAATTGGCATCAGAGCTCGATTTCTAAGAGAATGACAGCCAGATCGCAACTTAGAGGAGATCTAGGAAGCAACTATTGGATCGCAGGTCATCTAAGAAGCAACGACCTCATCGCGGGTCGCAGAATCTCACAATTTGAATCAAGATCACAGGTACAATCTCAATAATCAACAACGGGATCGTGTGACCAAACCTCGTGACACAGCCAACGACAACATCGCAGCACACAAGACGGAAGCCTTCCGATTGAGCTGCTATCTTGCCCTAATCTCGATATACTCGCAATTTGAGACATGTGGGAAGCCAAATGACAGGATCACGCTGTAGAGAAGTTTTGAAACCGTCTAAGCGAGATGGCAACAAGGAAATTGGATATTTTGGAAGAGAGATTAGAAGAAAATGAGCAAATAAAATACAGGATTGAGAAAAGGTTCTCAACCAAAGAAAGAAGGATTTTCCTCATGGAAAACAAAATGGAAAACCTAATTGAGGGGTTTGGAGGAGATGATGGGGAAGCTTATAGAGATGCAATTCCAAACCCCGCCGACAGTTCAAAATGCAAACCCTAACCAAGGTTTAACTAAAGAATTCTAGGCCAAATCAAAGAGATCAAAAGAGAGGCACATTATGAGGAAAGCATCCACCATCAAGAACCTCCCCCCAGAGTTATGATGGGGGATGTATTAGGGACTTCTAATATAGAAGGTTGGGCCCAAATAGGGGGAATAGGTCATGCAAGGGGTATGAAGGAGAACAAAGAAGGAATGAGGGAAGTCGAGATGCGATATGGTTATGATCGAAAAAGAGATTTTCACCATAGATACGTGGGGGGTACCATCGGAGTTAGAGGATGATGGGGTAGAGATGCTGGGGATATGAGGTTGAAGATGTCGAGTATCGATAGAGAAGACGCACATGGTTGAGTGTACCGGTTGGAGCGATATTTCATAGTGAATGGACTAAATGAGGATGAAAAGCTCATGGTTGTTGGGTTATGTTTAGAACGAAAAACCCTGGCATGATTTCAGTAAAGGGAGGCTAGATACCTAATCCGCTCTTGGGAGGAATTTAAGGACTACTTGCTAAAATGTTTTTGAGCGATGCGAGAAGGAGACCTAGGTGAGCAATTCTTTGCCTCGACTCGAGAGAGAACCGCTATGGAGTATAGGGAGATATTTGAGTTATTGTCAAGATGGCTGAGGGGTATTTTCGATGCAATATTGGAAGAGAATTTCATGAAGGGTCTAAAGCTCGTGACCTCATTTTTAGTGAGGTCTAGTCTTTCTCTTAGGGTTTAGGATCTAGCCTTAGGGATCTCCCTTTGGCTATCTTAGAACCTTAGAAATGGGACCCGTCTCATTTTAGAAATTCAATCCACTTTTGTACTCTTTCGTGGTTCCAAGTGTGTGGTATCGACTTCTAGCATTTAGAAGAGTGAAACCAACATGAGGAAACCCAAAAGGGATCCCCTTTAGAGTCTTAGGTTGTCCTTCTGCACAATTCGCACTCCCGCGCACAAAGCTTCGCAATTCGGAGAGTCAACACGTCCAATCACCACAATTCGCATCGCTTGCACCGTTACCTGTCGAAGACTCGAATAAACGTTTTGAGACGATCGATCGCGGGTCGAAACATTGTGAAATTTGAATTTTGATGCATCTCTAATCGCGGGTCGAAACTTTGTGAAATTTGAATTTTGATGCATCTCATTGTCGACGACGTCGTCCGAGCGACCCCAGATGACAAAACGGACAGCACCGACGCGTCCGGAACGTCGATTTTGCTTAGGGAGGACACTCATCTTGTTACGACACCGCACGTGAATAAATCGCATATGATTATACATATATATATATATATATATATATACACGTATATATATATATATACACGTATATATATATATATATACACGTATATATATATATATATACACGTATATATATATATATATACACATATATATATATATATATATATGAATATA